TATGTGAGGTTTATTGAAAAACACGCAAAATTTTAGAAAAAATAAATTCAACAAATCCATGGTAGTAAAAAACTTGTGGGCGCAATCGGCTGTAAATTTAACTAACATAACCGGATATGCCGGAAATATTAAAAAATGGAAGGAAGTAATTGTAAATCATTATATACTGAAAAGTATTTATTTTAATTAATGTAATTTTTATTTTCTAATCACTAAGGTCTTGGTAAAACTAAGAGAAGTTTAGACTTTGTAAATAAAGTAAAGAAAGTAAACGATCATTACATAGCATAAACGGCGGATCTTTAAAAAACATTAATAATATAATACGATTTGGGGGATGAACTGTGGCGACATTTGGAGCCATGAGTGTGGGATGATGCCAAGTGCCCCATAAATTGGCGTGGAAGGTGCAACAGGAGTAAAATATTAATGATATTTCCTTATCATTTTTAATAATCATACATTTTATCTATTATAGATAACTTTAAGATATTCCACATACGAAGGAAATGTTGATGCTACACCAGAAACATCTAACGCATTAGGAAAGCGCAATAACACACGTAACAGATATAAAACCAAAATTGGAGTATGAAATGTAATAAATAGTCTCCGAATATGTTCATTTTAAATTCAATGAGTGCTTGAAAAACACACTTTTTCTTTTTCTGTTTTATAACACCAAGAACAGAGAACTGCTATAGACGACGTGTACATCTACAAGCCATGGACGTCTACAGACGTCATTTACGCCAGCGGATTAACAAGATTAACAAGATAAACGAAAGTAAAAATATTTTAAAAATTTGCAAAAGCGGTTGGTAGCAAGAATAAAGCATTGCATAAATGGCCTAAATAAATCGAAATAAAATACCAAATAAGACCTCGCAAAAAGTCACTAGCAAAAGATTTGGATGTCGAGATTGATAGACTTTCTCTCGATGCGACAGCGGTTGAGTTGTATTAACTCGATACCATCGAGAACAATCATCGGATCGATTACGTACAAGATATAGAAAATCGTAAGGCACCTCCATCTGAAATAACGGAAATATTTGAAATAAATTAAATCATTTTTCTTATGAACGCCATATTAAATAATGAAACCAGCACGAATGGCATTCGCTATGGCATTTGTGTGAATTTATGTAATGCACCAATTTGTATTTATTGCCTCCATATTGCTCTCATAGAACGAAGCAAGCAACAGCGAAAACAGAAGATATTGCGTAATGTTAATTTAGGAGATATCTTAGTTGCAAGATGCTGTTTCTGCCACTTACGACCCTTTTCTTTAGCTAATAAAAATATTGCTTGAACACCCAATTATTGTTCGTTCAATTTGGTCAAAGCCAGCAATGCGGTATTCTTTACTATTCATTCTCTCTAAAAACGAGTAATATTTATGCGACACAAACTTTCGTGCTCTAATGGTGTGCAACAATTCGCTCTTACTTACAAATTTCGAATCCATCTCATTTCATGGAGTAAATAGCATTGATTATAAAAAAAATGCTCCATTTAATTTTTAATTTTTTGCAAAATCAAAATTTATTGAACATAAACAACTGAACAAAGCAACAGATGAATTGTGACTCGATTACATAACGTCATTGTAACCACAAATTATACCGTCCTGCTCGTTCGTCAACAAATGAGCTTCACTTAAAAGATCAATGTCGTAGTAACGGTCTGACGTAATTTTTTGTTTTTGTTTTAAGCCATGCTTGGCGTTTTCTTTAATAAAATTTAAAGCTATTCTTACGTCGACCACCGACATTTGTAAGCTTTTGCCCCAAGACAACAAAACAATGGGTCGTTGCGCGCTTAGAAGTTGGGATGGTGTAACGATATGACGATACAAACAACTTTGCAAAAGATTCTTAAGCAGATTAACCTGCCCTGGAAACGCACACGGGTGATAGAGTAAGACAATTGCACCATTAGCTAAACTATGAAGCCAACGTTGCGGTGGCAAATAGTTGTAAACACCATATTTGGGAGCCAAGGGACGATAAGAACCACTAAAAATATGCATATCAAAATAGTTGGAAATTGTTTTGGATATAAAAAAATTATTACTAGGTAGGTAACGGTTCACCGTAGTAAATTATCTCATCCAAACATTTAATAGAGGGTTGGAAGGCAGGAGGTATAAAATATTCGTTTAACAACGCTGTAGTGTTGATGTGCGGTTGATAGTTTGTCCGATTATTAGATAAACATAAGTAGTGATATGAGTCTCGCTTGTCTTTGGGATCATAATCTACGCCGATATTGTCCTAAAAAAACTAATAATCTGACATTTTGTAGAAAAAAAAGTATTCAAGCATTTAATCTACCTTTCCGTTATCGCAGGCGGTGCTATTCGCTTTCTTTACAATATTCGTTTTGTGTTCATATTCTGGAGGATAAGGAAACCACAGACCCCTCCACAAATCGGAAGTTATCAGGCCCTGCCTTTGCTTTGGTTGCACTTGCACCAAACTTAATAAAATCAACCATGAAATTATAACCGTGAGCATAATTTTTTTAAGAAAAAGTTAATGTAAATTAAAAACAAAAACTAAAAACAGCACGAGTAAATGTTCACTAGAAATTAACAAAAGCGAAGTGAATTCAGACTTTTTATAAATTGCATTAGTAATTGAGCGACCATATGAGACAGAGGTGACGTGAAAATAACAAAATTAAACACGGTATTAAATACAATGCAAGCAGAAGAAATCTGCTTGCTCTGCAAGCTCTATGCGTGTTTTCGTACATTTTGTAAACGTTGTTAGGTTTTACCCACAAATACAATGCATTTTTTATTAAAATCTTTTATCATGTAATTTCGACCAATAATTTATTTTCCTATTGCAGAATTTCAGCCAAGATATTTTGGTCAGTTACTAATTTGGCCATTTTGTAATATCCCAGCAGTAAAAAACTTATAATTGATAAACATTGTTTAGATCGCTCCAACTTCATCTAGCTGAAAGCTTAGCTTACGAATTTGCTTACGAGAAAAAGATTCTCCATATTTGCAAAACTAGAGAACTTTTTCTCGCTCAAATTCTTTCGTTTTCGTTTGATTAGTTTATTGTTATATCATCAGCACATAGTACGTATGTGCTGTTATTTTGCAATGAAACCATCAACCTTTGAGTTTATTTGATTGCACAAGATGTGATATTGGTTGATGTGCCTATGCGATCTTATTGATGGACGACATGACACTACCTACTAAAAACAAAAAGTAAGTGTTGTACTTAGAGTTACGGCCAAATACATATGACCATTTCCAAAACCTCTTCTTCTTATTCTTTGCAAAAGAATTTCTATCGAACGTAGCTTGTATGTAAAGTGAGCTTCACTCAACGACATTTCAAATACGACGGCTGTGCCAAATTTGACTTTCGAATAAAATTTGACAAGCAAAAGTGTTTGAATGATATTAAATCCATTCACAATCGTACGCAGATGAACAATAAACTTTTTTATTTCTGGGTGTTTAGTTAGGATGGACTAAGCCAATAAGACTTGTGGAACAATACACTTTAAAGGTTTATTAAAGGTCATTTACTTCAATTTTTAAAAGAGAGCTTCCATAAAACATTTTAGTAGTGTATAGAAAATTTTTACATAGCGTTCTATGATCTGCAAATGCTTGTACTTTCAAGAATACACTATATCATCCCAAAATTGTTGAAACTTTCAATTTTGCTACTACCCAACACCGTTCTTCGACGGTGAATTGAAAGTAAATATACATATGTGTGGGGTGAAACCACTAGGAAGCAATGATTTAAATTGGAAAATATCGATAAGCATATAAATGATGCGGCAGATGCTGTCGCAGACAGCTCAAACGGGCTGCGTTGGTTGTGTCCTGAGTGCAGACGAAAGCACATTGATTTTTTTCTGTTCGTTCAAACAAAGGTGGTGGGATTTGCGGAAGTGAAAAAGATGCTGGCGACCGTAATGGAACAATTAAATATATGCCAAGAAGCATTTGAAGCCTGTGCACAAATGAATTTGAATTGGTCTGAGTTATCGCATCGATTTTGCTCATCTTCTACAGCAAAAGTCCGTTGCGTGTGGGCTATCGTTAATGGCACCAGCCCATATTCGGTTTCTTTCATCGGATTCGGGCTTACTTCCCGAAGTATACCAAACTTGAGTGTCGCCCGTCGACCTGTTGTTCGTAGACCGGGTGGATTTGTCCCCATCGAATCCGGCTTTGCAATTGCCTCCTTCTTATAACAGGAGTGGTAATAATACTGTAACACGGGATCTATCGAAGGACAAGATGGTGAAAAATTTGCGAAATCGGCCTAGGGGCAATTATGCAATTGGCAGTTGGTTAAAGCTGGCCGGAACTTTTCTATAATTCTTTCCAGATTATCAGAGAGGATCGATTGGATTGCGCTGGCGGTGGTCTTTGTCCTATTCAATTGAATTTTCTACACTCCCGACGGTGAATTTATTGCCATTCTGAGGAAAATTGCCAATAAACAGTTATATGTAACTTGCTCCTATTTCCCCCCAAAGGAGGATATCTCTATCTATAAGAAATATGCTGTGCTCATTTGTAATGTGGCCAAAAAGTCAAAATCTACTGATTGCTTACTAATTGCAATGGCAGACTGCTTGATCTTTTCTTTGCCAACTTTCCGTGCCGTAAATCGCTGCCCACCTTTTAATTTACCCGAAGATCATTATCAACCATCAATTTGTAATATTTTTATCACAGGCATGATGGTCTCTTGAATTACTGTAACGTGCCAAATCCGTGCCAATAACCTGCTTTCTCCCATAAATATTATGATTTTAACAAAATTAATATTTTACTGCTTCAATCTCATCTTTCACACATTATGCTTGATTTCTCTGCTGAAAATATTGAAACCTTACTGTCTTCATTCTTTAATGTATTAAACCTAACTATTTCTGCATCAGTTCCGATCAACCAACATCACCCTCGAAGCAGGTGCCCGCCGGGGTTTAACCAGACAATTAAATATTACAAAATAGCAAAAACAAACTTTTCAAACAATTTACGAAAAACGGTTCTGCTTACGACTATTTTGCTTATTCCGCTGCAAGGGATAGATTTGGTTACTTCAACCACCAGTGTTATTGCAGATATCTTTAGTTGGTAAAATCCTCACTGCTTGTGAAGCTTAAATATTTTTTTAAGTTTCTCAACTACAAAAGAAAAATCTCTATATATCTCTCTTTCTTTCAATGGCTCTGAGTCCTCCGATGATGCTGAAATCTCGAATCTCTTTGGTGAATACTTCCGACGAAATGGTTGAATGGTTGCTAAGTATCCGTACCTGGCAACTAACTCGGTTTTGATTTATAACTTGGTCATTTGAAAAATCGACGGTTTAAATGGTTTGAGGTCTCTAGAATATAGTTGTGCGCCTCAAGCCTTATGGGATTCCATCATGTATACTCATATCATGCTCTGATGAGCTACGCGGTGTTATTTCGATGATTTTTTAAGCAATCCTTGAAACCAGGTGTTTTCTCTTTGCGTTAGAATAGTAGTTTCCTAATTCCAATTCACAAATGTCGAAATAGGCGTCATGTTGAGAACTAGAGGCATTGCCAAGTCAAGTGTCTTAACTAAATTGTTTGAACGCGTTTAGCTTTTGCTATCAAATCTCATATTTTTTCTTCCCAACATGGCTTCCTGAAAGGAAGGTCGACTGTTACGAATCCTTTAAAGTTTACTTGCCCTGCTTTCAAGGCTCTTTCTAGTGGTTCTCGCACAGATGTCGTATATACTAATTTTAGTAAAGCGTTTGACTTGCTTAACCATGACATATTGATTTTTAAACTCCAGGCCTCTGGCTTCCATCTGCTCTTCAACTTCAGCACCTCGTTCATTAAATTCAACCATACCTTAATGTACGCTGACGATGTTAAACTACTTTGTTTCTTTTCTTTGGAATCGCAATCGTATCAACTTCAAACTAACTTACATACTTTAGTTACTTGGTGGTCGTTAAATTTTGGAAATTAAATCTGAAAAAATGCGAGAAACTTTCTTTCTCAAGGAGGAAATCATTCAATACTGAGTATTTCATCGCTTAGCACAAGTTGGAAAACCTAGATTCGTTGATCGATTTAGGGATTGTACACGATCAAAGATTTAATTTGCACATTAAGCTCTCTTTAACTAAAGCTGTGTCCGTGTTTGGTTTCATTAAGAGCTTAGCAATCATTGCATTACAAAAAGGCTATACATGTGCTTAATTAGACCAATACTTGAGAATGCCCTTGTTGAATGGTTTCCTTCCTACAGGTGTTATGTAGATTTAATTGAATCAGTTTAAAAGTAATTGTTGCTATTTGTCCATAAGGAGCTTGGGACCCGCTTGTCTCTCTTCCTCCTTACTAAAATTGCTTGCTTTTGTTATCGTTACCGTTACAGGAGAAGCATAAATTTATTCTTGGTGTTTCGTTCTTAACTTAGGTTAATGGTACTATCAATTCTTCCACACTACTTGGTGAGATAAGCTGTAATGTTCCTAAGCGCTTCTCTAGGCACTTTATTTTCATTGAATTGAGTCAATGTAAATATAATTATGAGCTGTTTAACCTGTTCAGTTGTGTGCAGAAATCTAAATGATGTCTACCACTTAATCCTAATATCGGATTCTTTAGGTTTCTATGTAGGTTAAATTTAAAATAAATACAGAAATACGATAGACAGAAGGAGGAGAAGGATTCAATGTAGACAATGCAAACTTTATTTCTCAAATTTTATTTGCTTTAATTCATATCGTTTTTCTTAATGCGGCATTAAACTTCTGAACAAGGTAAGAAAAATTTATTTAAAAATATAAAATTACTGTATTCAAAATGTTCGTAGAAGGAACCGTTGGATGAAATTAAATTCTTCCCAGAGTGCTGGATATAGGCATATTTAATAAACATGTACCGACTTCATGATCATTTAAAGAATATTTCTAAATCTACTGTTCTTATAAACATGAACAAATATTTTTAGGTTTTGATAGGTTTATATTAATCTCTTTTGCTTTTGGCTGTACATAGTCACACTTCCTTGAAATCAAAACTTTATTGCTATACTATTTACAATTTTTTCAAATCTGCCAGCAGAGTAGAGTGCTTTTCGAACAGCTCTACCAAAGGATCCTGGGGCTTGTTAAATTCACGGTCATATTCTGCGCCAATAGCCCACAATGATTCTAGGTCATAAGATATACGAACTTTTGGCGCAAGTATATGCAAAGCTATATTACCCAAGTCCAAGGCCATCCATTCATGACTTTCTTTTCCCTCTATTTTGGGTAAAGTGTCATCCGAATGACGCTTGACTTTATACATGTATCTCACAAATTCTGCTATTGCCGTTAGGTGGCGACGACTACGTCCGCTGCATACCACCAAATAATCTACATACTTTAATTCCATAGGCACCGAACAGACAAAGATATCTTCCGCACCTTCCTTGCGCAGCACTTCAACCAGGCTATCAATATCAAACACACCTCGTATGCCTCCTATATAAATATATACATAGAGAAAATGTTTACAAATTATTGCTTCTTTTATGTTTACATACTTGCTTTTTAAGTTTACTTCTGAGCTATGATCTGGTACCGTCTGTTCTCTTTGATGTTGACGTTCTTTCTCCACATCGAAAATTTCCGAAAATTCTTCTGCCCGGAATATTTTATACTTGTTTTGAATGGAACCGGACGTATCACAGCCATTATTTTTCTGTCCTTTCGACAACTGAGAACTGATATATCTTTTAGACTTCCAATTTTCTTTTGATTTGGTTACTGGAATCTCATCTGCATGTTTGAAATATAAGCATTTGATGGTAGCAGCAATTAAATTCTTATCGCGAACTAAACGGCATTCCCGCAAATTTAACATTTTGCACTGTGTTAATTTCTAATAAATACATATGATTTGCTGAAAGTTTTAAACACAGTACGCGAAGTACTTGACAGTATTAATAAAAGCTTCTCGTTTTGTTCCGCTATTTAAAATTATTTGAACTAAAAGCATTTTTTTTTTATATGTATATACATATATATTTTGACATGAATAAATAATCAATACATATATATATATATTTCAGAATTAAAGTGTTAGTAGAAACGATTTCCGATTTTGGATGATAATTCCAATTTGCCTCTTTCCGCTGTTTTCAACCAAATGATTTTTTATAAATTATCTCATGGATTTATTAATTTCCGAAGTGGCAATGCACACAATTAGCAAGTATTATCCTTGCAAAGCAATGTGACTAGATTGGTCGCCGAGACCTTAACCCATACGAGTAACTCCTTCTCTACATCCAATTATCTGCTATTGAATTACTTCTTTCCATACGGTCTCAAGTAAAGGCTTTGCGAAATCTCATAGCAATTTGTCTATTGAAATGACCTTCCTTTCGTAAGAATTTTCGATAAATGCCTTTGTTGGCAAAGAAACTTGATTAAGAAATTTTTTAAAGAAAGGAATAAGGTACACGACGATATTTTTATACTTAGCAATCTTTATGCAACCCTGCATTAATAATTGAATTAAGCAGGAATGAAACATAAATTAAATGTGTTACATTACTACCTGGCTTAACGAATCTAGAAAGAGATTTATTGTATTGTAAAGGGTTGTGAGCTTAAATTTATTTTAAGCAGATTACTAACTAAGTGATCAAGACGTCAATAGTGATATTCATTAGATCGAAGCGTCGTTGACGTTGACTGCGATAATGAAAAGCAAGTACATTTATACACAGTGTATACAAGAAAGCAAGCTGAAGAACACACAATGCGGTATTTTGTGGATATATTGAATGTGCGGATATCTTAAAAACAATAAGTTGTGAAGAATACTTAACATTCATGACTAAGAAAGAACTTACTTTAGGATATCTGTTCGACACTTATACAACATACAAATTGTCAGAAACAATATATTTATGAGCTTGGAGGGACGAAGAGTTTAAAATATGTTGGTTCCATTATTAAGTGTACCTAGCAGAATATTTTAAAAGTAAAGAAATTAGTTTTGACACGTTTGTGGAAGTAAGCAAAGATTGGCTGCTGCCCAATTCTTCAACTAATTGAAAAAGAAATGCCTTTGGTTTGACGGCTGCCAAATAGAAAATGAAGGGGACATCCAAGGAATTTTGGCTTCATTGCATATTTTCTAGTCATTCGGTCGAAGTTATAAAGCCAACATTTGCTTTTATTGTAAAGTGGAACTGTTTCAGGAACACGTTCTGCATTCTCTATTATCTTCGTATGTTTATGCTTAAAATTAAGCATTAATATCTTTTCATTTGATTTTAATTTGCAAGTTGTGAGCACGTACTTATCCGACTTATGTAGTTTTATAGAATATCGCATAACATTATCTTTTTAGTCTTTCCCAGTTCTTATTTCCACGCGAGAGTTTTTTTTTTTTTGCAAGCAAACCTTTTGCACGGCAAATAGTTGTGAAAAAATTATCAGAAGAAGTTAGTTTTATTTCAGCCACCGTGTGCATTTGGCTCAGCAAGCTTCAGCATGATATCTATGTCCTAAAGGATTTCTGCTGGTCACCATTTGTATTTTCGTACATACGGTTGAGCAGTTATTAGATTATTAGATATTTGCCTACTGTATCTGTCTCATTAACATGAAATCAAAGCAAAGTTGGCTATTTTCAATATCAGACAGCGTTCGTTCACTTTGTCGAAATGTCAATGTAACGTTATGGATTGATTGATTGAATCAAATGATTACCTTCGATGTTTTTATGGTACCATAAAGTAAGAGGGTATTATCATTAATGCTAACTCGCCTAATTTAACCGTTGATTATGGACGTATTAGCAAACCGATCAGGATTGTATCGCACATACAGGTGGCTCTAGTAAAAATTTGGATAGTCGTTTTCATGAAAAATATTGACGGGATTGAAAGTTCTAGACGCAAATTTCGAAAAACTACCGGTATTATCCGAAGTGATTTTAGTTACTGTTACATTTGAGCGTGCATCCTACCTTAAGCGGTTAAGGAATATTTAAGCCAAATTTCGGTTACCTATTCTCATTTTTGCATCTGTTTGTGCAAATGTCTTCACGGCCCTTCAGAAAATTTGCACTAAAAGAAAAAGAAAATTATTCTGAAAAGTATACAGTCGCCTCCTTCCTTAACTCTTATATTGCAAGTGGTGCATGGTATGAAGAGTGCACAATATGTACTACACGAACAACATGCACAGAAAATTTTACCTTTGTTTGAATGTAAATTAATTGCAACATTCCAAACACACATACCAGACAGTGATAAATGCGGATCTCTTTCGTCGATGCAGCGCTCAACGATATTTACAACTGAATATTTGCTTCAGGATTTATGGAGATGATATTCAGTCTAAAGTAAGAAGATGTACGCACTTTGTGCCTGAAGGTAAGTTAGTTTAAGAAAAAAAAAATAGACTAACGTTTCATCGATAGAAGAACTTTGGCTTGTGGTTGCCAGTCGCTTAACTGACTAGCACCGGCATGCACTCCTGTGTTATCTATGAATTAATGACCAATTATATTTGTAGTTGCTTTTTAATTTTCTAAGCTTTTTGCTGCAATCAGAAAATGTTTTCAAACATTTGCGTTGTCACATACAAACCCAACGGACGCGTATATTTCGGTATTTGTTATGCCTGAATAAATATATAAAAAAAAGTGATCACTGATTAACGGAAAGACCTATGAAACAACAGCAACAATAATAAGAGAAATCTGAAGTAGCAGAATTCATTTCCGTTCAACCAATCTACGCGATACCCAGCTGTTTGTGTCGCAATTTTTACGAGCGTTACAATACATTCATGTGTAGTTATGCTCCAAACGACTTGCGGTAAAGGGTATATTAAGTTAAGTGCGGATGTATGTAACATCCAGAAAGACTCATTTTTTATTATACCAATCGATTGAGCAAATGATTCCGATTCGTTTATCTGTTTAAACGAATGTACGTTTCTCTGTCTGTCTGATTGTACGCATAACTGATGTGTGACAGCGTAGTATCGTGTTCAATTGATACGTTGCAATTTTCGACGCATTTTGACGCCCCAAGGACGCAAGCTGTTGGTAATTGTTTGGATCGGACTACTTCTGCGACTACCCATAAAACGCCTGATTTTAGAAGAGTCGTTGGGAAAAACTGCAATTCTGAAAATTTCGCGACAAAAACGCACTAAATGATAGTATTTTGGCATTCTAATTTGAATCGGATGGACTATGAAAAGCAAACTTTACAGGTAGTAGCGAAAATCTAATTTTTTTTAGTTTTGAATATAGAAGTGCTTTTGGTTCGTGTTGTGTTGTGGTCCACTGACCGAATTCGCTCATTTTCAATACCAACCTGCTTGCAACGGTTTACAGTTGTTTGCCTTAATTTTTGCGGCGAACATATTTACCGCATGAGCCCATAGAGACGGAAGGACAGACTTGCCTAAACAGACGTAGTAATCGAGACTGGTCAGGAAAATATACTTTATAGGATCATTGAAATTTCCTTCTAGGTGTTGCAAACGTTTTGAGAAAATGCACATACCGCTTTCTTTAGATGGTCGACATAAAGACAAGAACGCACTTTCTTTCGACGCCGTGTCAAATTTCGTGGCGTATGGCAAGTTAGTATTTGTTTGGTGGCCGCAGAAAATGAACATCCTCGATGGTTTCGCTTATATTAAAAAAAAATACATTTTATTTTGTAATTAACAATAATTCTTTAACGTTGAAGCATTGACAGAAACGGGCATTTAGCGCGTAAAATAGTATGGTTAAATATTAAATGGTTGGATTTAAACCTGACCGCACAAGCACAATACAACCAGCAATTGAAAAAATATCTGATATGCACCTACGAGGTACAATTGGAAATGAGTGAGCTGGAGGTGGCAGTATACATATGATATCGATCTGTATATTGAATATTGTGCTTAAAAAATTGCCTTTGTGCAAGATGAGTAACTCAGTCGCTCATAATTGATCGAAGTGGCATATGTGTGACCAATTCAATAAACGACCTAGAGACCATCATTTAATGCTGGAGAATTAAGATAGATAAGACATGCATTCACCACTATGCCGAGAAATTACGTGGATGGCTTTGTCGCATGAAAGTTCACCAAAGAGGCTTAAGATGGAAACTGTGGTACAAGCAAAGTGGTATGAACTGAGATATGAGTAGCAGACTTCGCTTACGATGAGCGACCAATAAGTATTTTACATCAAATGAAGAACTCCAACAGGAAATGCATAGTTATTTGGAACGACTCGAAAATACATGTGACTTATAGTCAGTAAAAGTTAAGAAATTATTGGCTTTGGTGTTTCAATCTATATAATGAAATTCCATTTCACAAAAAAATACGTGTTTCTCTTATTATGTGCCTTATTTATAGAGCAAATTGCTCTTTTGTATGTAGTGTTGTTCTACTTCAACAGTAACAAGTAAGAAAATATATAATACTCGGCTCGGACCGAATCTTTCGCGCCCACCATCTTTATGCTAACAAAGGTTGCAAAGAAAAACGAATAAACCAAAATTTCTGTATATTGACTGAGTGTCGTTGGATTTTGTCACGTGTCCGTTGAAATTCGTGAGTCAGCAAGCAGAGGTATTCTGAATTTATGTTTCAGTGCGTACAGTGAACTTCATTTTTGCGGATGGGAGAATTTCTACCATCGACCTTATAAAGATGAGCAAGCGGGCAGATGGACATGCTTAGTTGGATTCCGAATATGACACTTGTATGCTCCCTCTATGCGTTACAAATATTTTAATAAAAAAATGAAATTTCGACTGTGGGTTTTTCCTTATTCTACAGGGTCTCTCACACAAAAACAATTTACTTTTTTATTTCAGTGGTGGTAATACCAGTCTGCAATAACATCCA